CCCCAAAACCCCAAAACCCCAAAACCCCAAAACCCCAAAACCCCTATTTCAGAAGGTTTTCTTGAAATTAATAAATTTGTAACTCAGAAAAATGTCTGTGTATCATATTATCGTCGCCAAAATACTGACTTCTCCAAAATTGGAGAAGCCATTTATCCTGTTCGATCTCTGATGAGATGACAGGAAGGTTCCAAAAAATGTAGAGAAGGATCTGAAGAGCGAAAAGATAATCAAAAATGATGTTAAAGAGTTTTTAGCTGATCCTGATCCGGACTGATTCCTTCAGAAGGAATTCATTAGTGACCAGCTCCTTAAGACAATATTTTTCAAGCCTGATAAAACAGACCTTGAGATAGACCAACCTTCTTATGTACTTTATATATCATGAATAACAGATTTGGGTAGGTTTTCTGGACTAATAATTTAGCAATAAACGAAAGAAAAGTAGGAAGCTTTCTTAAAGAACTTTGCAGGGTTATAAGAGACAACCACCAAGCGGAAATTAAGGATAAATAACTCTAAAATAGACACAGTTTTTGCTAATGCTTGATGGCAGACTATTGATAACTTTAACTTGGGCCCCTACGACTCTGCAACAGGAGAAGGAGGCCCTGTCATTAATTTTTAAGAATGTTAGACTTGGAGGAGAGAAAATTGAGAAACTCAAGCAAAGCCTTCTTGATAGTATTATCAAAATGAATGATAACCGAGAGCAAGTTGAAAAACTCAACGCCAATGCTCAAAATCTCAGACAAGAAGCTTACAAGTTCAAAAAGCAAGCTCAAGAGGTTGAAGATGAAATGAAGAAGAGGAACAGGTGGTGTACGAAACGGTTTATATTCCTATACCTCATAATCACCATTCTTGTCCTTGCTGCCATCATTATTGTGCTTATCCTAAAGCTCTAAGTTCTCAGGAATGTTCACTAATATAACTTCTACTCAATAACACAGAATTGAAAAGGGGTTTTGGGGTTTTGGGGTTTTGGGGTTTTGGGGTTTTGGGG